GCCTCCCAAGTAGCTGGGACCACAGGCACCCGCCACAACGCCCGGCTATTTTTTGGTTGCAGCTGTCATTGTTGTTTGGTGGGATCGGGCTGGATTCGAACCTGCCACCTTAGGTGTATGTGGCTGGGACCTTAGCCACTTGAACCAAGGGTGCCGAGCCATCAACTTTGTTTTTGTATGTACTTAGGTATGTATTTTTTCTTTAAAAAGTCATTTACGCTTTTCCTCCCTGGCTGCCCAACAATCGCCCACCATCGTGAACGACACAGTAACTATCCGGACCAGGAAGTTCATTACTAACCGACTATTTCAGAGGAAACAAATGGTCATTGATGTCCTTCACCTTGGGAAGGCAACAGTACCAAAGACAGAAATTAGAGAAAAACTAGTCAAGATGTACAAGACCACACCTGATGTCATCTTTGTATTTGGATTCAGAACTCACTTTGGTGATGGGAAGACAACGGGCTTTGGCATGATTTATGATTCCTTGGATTATGCAATGAAAAATGAACCCAAACATAGACTTGCAAGGCATGGCCTGTATGAGAAGAAAAAGACCTCAAGAAAGCAGCGAAAGGAACGCAAGAACAGAATGAAGAAAGTCAGGGGCACCACAAAGGCTAATGTTGGTGCTGGCAAAAAGGCAAAGGAGTAAAGACTCTACAGTGATGTTATCTGCAGCCATTGTTTAGATTTTTCACAAGAGGATTCATAAAGACTATTCATGTGAAAAAAAAAAGTGATTTACATACATTTAAATCAGTAGCACAAGGGAGATAATCCCTGTTTGAATGCTAATACCTGAAGAAAAGTAGGTACAATTTGAGAAGAACTAGGGGATGAAGAGATTATTATACCTAATTCTACTCCAAATCTTACAGCTTTTGTTTTCTTCAATAAGAGTATGTTACTATTAATAGCAAGACTATGTATTTATCTGCCAAAATGACAATTATTCTTCAGCCTACAAGAGGAAGAATGAGAGAAAGTAACGGAGGAAAAACATACATTTCTGGGGATAGCTGCTGGGAAAGGGAAATAAAAAAGATCTACATCTGGTGCCTATAGCTCAATGAGTAGGGCGCCAGCCACATACACCATGGCTGGTGCCTTCGAGCCCTGCCCGGGCCTGCTAAACAACAATGACAACTATATCCAAAAAATAGCTGGGTGTTATGGCAGGTGCCTGTAGTCCCAGCTACTCGGGAGGCAGAGGCAAGTGAATCACTTAAGCCCAAGAGTTTGAGGTTGCTGTGAGCTGTGACACTATGGCACTCTACCAAGGCACATAGTGAGACTCTGTCTCAAAAAACAAACAAACAAATATACAGGCAAAAAAGATCTACATCTGTGTGTGAGAAAGATTTCCTAGTCCAAGGAAGAAATGAGAGTGAGATCTACAGTGGTATAACTGACGTGCCATCAGATGATTCTTCAGAACCAGTTGATCACATCATATGGGGGTTCTTTTAGGTTAGGGTACAAGCAGGACACAAGTGGCTATTCTTTTTTTTTGTTTGTTTTTTTGTTTTTTTGAGACAGAGCCTCAAGCTGTCGCCCTGGGCAGAGTGCTGTGGCATTACAGCTCACAGCAACCTCCAACTCCTGGGCTCAAGCGA